ATGCCTATTGCAAGGAGCAACCTCAATTCCACATTGGCAATAAGATATGGTTATTTCATCACAATATGAAGACTAGCAATTTTTGTGGGAAGTTAGATTATCATAGGCTTAGACTATTTTCTATTAGTAAATAAGTCAATCTTTTTGCTTATCAATTACATCCATTGGAGTTTATAAAGATCTATCTTATATTCTATATAATTTTTTTTAGCCGTATAAGATAATGAGTATTTCAAAAAGAAAAAAAAAAAAAAAAAAAAAAAAAAAAAAAAATACCACCTCTTCTTATAGAAGTAAATAATAATCAAAAATTTGAAGTGGAAGAAGTTTTAGATTTAAGGCAATACCAAAATAGGTTGAAATATCTTGTTTATTAGCATGAATAGGATATTAATGAATGCACATAAGAGCCAACAAAAAATCTTGCAAATGTAGCTAAAAAGATTTAGGCTTTTCACTCACGACATCTATCAAAACCAAGATAAAGAATAATAAGATCCATGAAAAATGATGACTGCTCTTCAAAGAACTTATCTTTAGAAGAAAAGATAATGTCATGGACACACATATTTATTTCAATAATTATCTATATGATTAAGTAGAAGTATATAAAAGTAGATTAATTTTATAATATCTTCTAGAATAGCTTTTTAAAAGCTTCATAGATACAATTTTGACTTTAAACATATTTGTAGTAGATTGATAGGTTAGAAACTTAGTCAATAAATTAACAATGTATCATATGTATTGATAGCTTAAAAAATAAGCTAATTATGTAGCACACATATAAAAAACTTGCCTTACAAGTTAAGATATGTACCTTACAAAGTCAATATGTATTGGAGGTTTTGTAGCACATTACTACATAGCTACTAATTAGACAATATATATGGAGGTAAGAGTGAAGCCTCCTTTACTTTTGTCAACACTTATTTAGTTCTTAGTCTTTTTTAAAAACTTTTCAATCTTTTTTTCCTTAGAAATAGCTATTTTAGTTTAATATTCTATCATTTTTGAGTAATTATTTAGTCTTTTTGAATGACACAAGAATATCTTAATCTTTCAATTCTTCAAGATTTATATTTTTGATAGAGCTTTAAAATGTACCATGTCTATTTGCATGTCTTCTACTTTAAAATGTATGCATTGATAAGGTATAGATATTGCTATTAAAATTTAAAAATATTGAGGTCCACTTATACAACTCTCAGATCAAAATTCAAAAAGTCAATTGTCAAACTTCATAACAAAGTCAATTGTTTGGTTCAATGTCTAAGAATTAGATAAGTTCAATATAAACTTATTTACCTTATATTATAATCTATAGAAAAATTGGGTAATGAATTCAATATCATGCTATTTAATATTTATTGTAAGTTATCAAAATTGTGAAATACATAATATTATTCATTGATTCTTATGTCAAAAAACAAAAATCTTATTAGTTACAATATAAGTTATATCATATTTTTCATACATGAGTCAAAACTTTGCCAAAAGAGTCTATAAAATATTCAATTTTAAATCTTATTTTTAAAAAAAAGATGAATACCATGATAAAACAAAATCTAAAAGTAATATTTCAATAAATTTGATTTGTAACCTTGAAGTTAAATAGCTTAATTGATAAATTTATGAAATATTTATTTTGTATCATCAAACTTCTCAAATAAGGCAACTTTTAGTTTTCTAATACTTGAATAATATTCCACCATAGAAAAAATAATATGATTTGATATAGATACTTTAGTAACTTTAATCATTTCTATATCTTCACTTCTTATCAATTATTTTGCTTCTAGTTGCAGTAAATTGAATTGATGCATTTTAAACATTAAGTCTTTTATTTGTTCTTGCATTTGTGCCATTTCAATAAGCTTTGCTATAATAGGACAATAAAAAAGAAGATGTCTAATATTACTCAAGATAAGTAGAAAATAGAACTTGAAGACAAAAAAAAATCTAATAAAAATATTAATTTAAAAAAATATAATTAAAAAATTCTAATATGATTATTTTTTATCAAAAAAATAATAAAATAACAAAAAAAACACTCAAATTTCAATCATAAAAAATGATATAAGGCAGTGTCAATATTATACAAAGATGACTTCTTTATTTTTTCGGTGTTGCAAAATATGTTATAAGAGCCTTGAATAAAAATTTCACTAAAAACTATTTCAAATTGCTATACAAAAGTAGATATGAATAAAAAATAGAAAGTATCCAATATTAATTTATCAAAGTAGCTAATAGACTCCAAATTTGATTTAATAGCTAATAGAATATTAAATATATTCAAAAAAATAAATTTGATAATCACACATGAAGAGATGAATGAGTATTTTTTTAATAGATAAAAAAGCCAAAAATAAGTGGCAAGATGATCTATTCAATGATTGTGAGGAAAATAAGTAAATCTTGATATGATTCAAGAAAATAAGACAATTGAATAAGATGAAATTGATGCTTTAAGAAATAATACAACTTAGCAATATTAGCAACAATATAGATTTTTGGATATTAACAAACTATTAAAACATCTTATTGAAGTAGAATCATAGTTGAGATCTATTAAGTTGATTGAAGTTATTGAAAATCATTTAGTAGATTTCTTGAGATTTTTTACTATATGTAATAGGATTATTAAAAGATATGCAAAGAAACAAAAATCTTTAACAAACTAATATTGTTTGATATGTTTAAATTAAAATAAAGCAATATCAACTTGAACTATATTTCTAATCATTTATTTTGTATATTTAATCTAAATACATATTTAATATAGTGCATGCTTAAGAAAGAAATTACTACAACATAAATTCAATAGAAATGTGACTAAAGATTAATGAAACCATACTTCTTTTTTAACAATCTACAAGTTATATTTTTAAATATTAAATAAATATTACTATTAATTATTTTATTAAATACATAATAATTTAAATGGACTATTTTTTAAAAAAAATTATGCCAAAAAATAGAATACTAAAAAATTCTTAATTAAATATACTTAATTACCACTTAATATATAAGGATATATAATAAGGTATTAGGATTAGTACTTCTATTGATTATTACTATTTATACTTAGAATTACTACTTAAAATATACAACTTAATAGAAAAATAGTTTTTGATATTAAATCTATTTCACAATAGATATAATTTGCAAAATCTTATTTAAATTTTTATATATCTTAATTAAATATTACATTCTTGCCTATCATAATTTATTTCTAAGTTTCTAATTACAATTTTTAATTTTTTTTTATAATTAAAATATAATTTAATTTTTTATATATTGCATGTATATAAATATATTAATTGCATTTGTAAAAATTAATATCAATATGTTACTACTCTAGATGGTTTTTTTTAATTACCTATATTTTTTTATTAAAAAAATAGATAATAAGAAAATAATTATTACTAAGGACTTTTTTTCTTTACTAAAAAATTTAGAACTAAAATTGATTCTTTAATTAAACTTTTTATTCTTATTCTTATTTTTTATTTGAATTGAGATGAGATTTAAAAATTTGGAGAGTCTTTTCTTTAAATATTTATATTTAGACTTTTTTTATAATTTGAAATCAAATCTTATTTTATTTGGTTGTCTTTCGCACTTTTAACTGTACATCCATTGCTTTAATGTTTGTAACAAGAATAGCTATTATGCTTTAAACCATAAAACTTCTTTCTTTTACCATCTCAATTTACTTTAATGTTCTCTTGTTTATCATTAAACTTCCTTCTTTGCTTGAAGTTTAGTAATTTTCTAATTTGGCCTAGAAGTATAGTCCTTCCTTTAAATTCTTTCAAATCTCTTCTTCAAATCCAAATCCAAATAATTTCTACTACTCAAAATATAAACTTCTTCAAAATATTTTTTATGCAACTATTTTCTTGGATTTTAGAATTATTTGAACTCTTACTTCAAGGCAACTTTTCTCTTCATTTTCTTCTTAAATAAGAATCAACAAGACTTTACTATATTCAAACTTAAACATCTTGAACAAAAAAAATTGAATTGCAAGGACTCTACTTTAAAAAAAAATTGTTTTAATTTCTCTTTCCTTAGTTTTCTTCTTCCTGAAAACCATCACCCAGAAAAGATCTGATTTCCACTTCCTAACCAAATTACATTTCTGTCTCTAACCTCTTATTTTACTTTATAACACCAAACACTTTATCATAGTATATGATTTGTCATTCTTACTTTAATTTCTTTAAGAAATTGACTTACTATACAACCAAATAATTAATGATTTTTGACCTAGTAAACATCCTCACAAATCCTAAGACTTGAATACAATGATACTTAAAGATGTCCCACACTTTTCTCAACCCAACCCTCTCAACTCCTACCAAACCCACATTGAATTTGTAAACCCCAACACAGGTAGCAACTTTATCTATTTCATGGCATGAGTCTTAAAATCTTAGGAAAGACCGTACCCAAAGGATATGTTTTCCAAATGGATTGACTTCCAAAGAGCCACTTCCTCCAGAAAACTCTTAATAGGATTCTGTGACAACATGGCATGTAACCCTTCCAACCACAAACTCATATCTCAGCATATTGTTCTTTACGTAAAGTCAACTTGGAAAAGACATCCAATCATGTTGTGTTCGTTTCGTAATGAAGTAGTCCCACAGATGCATGACAAATCCCCACTTGAACAAGCGTCATAACATGGTTCCAAACCCCTTTCGACAAGGATCACCGATTCACAAAGCCCTGAGCATGCGGACCACACACTACTCGCATCACCGCCATCCCCTACTTCCCAACACAGCCGCATCAACCGCCACCCACGTCTACATCTCGCACACCCAACCCAACCTCCACTCGCCTCTCGCCATATACACTCCTCTCACCACCACACCCACCTTTCAACAACCCACTCCACATCAACTCATGCGCACATCCCACCAACATTCCCACACATTGCCGCAACCCGCACCCACACACCCCCTTCCCCCTCAACTCCTTCATCAAGGTAATGGACGCTTTATTTGCACAAATGTTGTAGTACAGGCTGCACCTCGTCAAAGGGCTCGTAAATTACATGGACACACCCAATGGGAAACGCTTACAGTAAGATTACAGGGTCGCGTGTATGTACAGAACTAAACGCCGTCAAAATTTTGAACAACTATATCCGGAAATTCCCCCTCTCTCTCTCTCTCTCTCTCTCTCTCTCCCCATGCACTCAACCCAACACGCTGGGCTGTGCCACGCACCAATTCATGGCGCTTTCAACCGATTTCCTGGTTTCCTCGCCGCTGCTCGCTAAACTGTCTCACTACATCTGCTCCGTCATGTGTACAGGGATCAAATCTTTCCAATTTTCAAGAAAAAGTCACCAAGAAAATACTTCCAAAATAACTATGCGAAAAAATATTCTATAAAAAAAGTATAAAAAGAAAAATACTCTCCAAACTCGAAAAAAAGCCACCTCCCCCAGGATCCTTCGACCACGCCTCTACACCGCTGCGCGCGTGTCCAACCTCCAAATCAGTCAAACCTGATTCCTCGGACTTCCTCTGGGCCGTCTCGTGCACACCCAGCACCGCTTCCGCTGTGTGCACCTTCGACTTCATCTGACCGCGTTTGGAGCGTCACAAAATCATTACCAAAAATCTATTCGCCCTCCCACTGGCATCGCCTTCTCCAATATCACACTCTCTCTCTCTCTCTCTCTCTCTCTCTCTTTCTCTCTCGCTACCTACAACGTCTCCACTTCCACCCCCACCCTACCGTCACGCAAGTGCCGATACTCGAGACCGCGAGTCCGCACCGCCCGACGCAAACCCCTCCACTCGCACCATCGGATTCCCGCCGAAAGACTTCGGCCCGCGACCCGACACCTGATGCGACAGAACCGACTGAGCTCTCTGCAGGAACTGCACGTCGTGAATCAGCGGATTCCCCGACCGACTCGGAGGCGACCCGCAGAAGTACGGCGGCGAACACCCAAAATTCGATACGTCCCCACACCCACCCTGCACCACAGTACGCCCACACATTACCACCCCGCATCCTGTACCACCGCTGCCCCAACTACCCCAAAACCACGTAACACGCCCGTTATTACCACTCATCCCCCCCCCCACACACACACACACAAAATACAACAAACCCCCCACCGCAATGGCACGCCGCCGCATTCCCGAATCCACACCGCACCGGTCTCTGATCACTCACCTTGCTCAGAAGTATATCCAATAACTCAAATCCCGCATCTCCCTCTGTTCGCACCGTCGCCTGACTGCAACCGCCACAACAAAGCACACCACGACTCGGTTCATGTTCCGTCACAGCACCACGCCCCATACAACACTCTATCCATCCCCATACCACGCTACACCCCAATACCACCTCTCCTATCATGTTACCCACACCAAACCACACATGCTCCACACGTACCCTCGTCGCCGCCTTGGAGGCTTCATCAACTCGTTTACAGGACACGACACGTTCGTTGGTCGCCGCGGTTTCGGACAAATCACCTCCTCATCGTTTCCCTCCACTCGAAATCCCGACAAAGGTCGTCTCCTCTCGTTCATCTCTGGACGGCTCTCCAACGAGTTCCAGGCCCCAGCCAGGTGCTGGACACCACCTAGGTTCCTTGCGATCTCCAGTTTTGCTGATTCGTGCGCTTCCAGCCCCAACGAACCCCGTCTTCAGTCTATCACTCTTACCCAAGCACGTTACCGCATTCCCAGTTTCAACAACTTCCAAAACCTATATTGCTCCAAGTCCAAAGACACCGTGGGTGTATGTGTACAAAATTAAACTCTTCATGTACAGCAGCCTCATGTATATACAAGTGTGCGGTAAGATGATCCTGCAAAAGGACCAGAGACCGTACATCAGATTTATTGCTGGCTCCCTTGAGGACCACGACCGCATTGACACACCAATAATCCTATTTCACGCCGCTCTTTCCACTATTCCACACATCTGATCAGAATATGTGGATTCACATACAGATTGTAAAGCAGAAGTTAACAAATATTTTCTGCATGCCATAAGCGGTTTACGAACCTGAGATTGTTTTCCGTGTTGCGTCAAATAGTTTGATTCCCTCTCTAATGACACTGTGCAAGATCATGTTAATCTCAACTCCAGCAATAACGTGAAATTCCAAATGTAACTAGATTCACGTACGTGTACCTACGCCTAATATTGTCCCGTGCCACGAAAACGAAGGATAAACTAGACATACATCGCAACAAGAGGATGGGTGGTTTCATCGACAAGCTTGGATGAGGTGGGACCAATAAAACACGACTGGTATCAAACTTTCCCAAGGTGTAAGGTTCAGCATATCGTTCATGATTCCAAAATAGAATAAAATAACAGAAATAAATGTAAGCAGTCGGGCAAGGCGAAGACTGCTGCATGTATGGTTTCCTGGTGGTAGTATGATAGTAGAGGGAAGGAAACAGCGGGCAACTCTCTTTGGGCCGCCCTTCGTGACACCAACTGGTGCTGCTCCAAAAATTATACTAATAACAGGCACGGAATTCAAGCGATCCGAGAGAGATTCAAAATAACTTAAGCCACGAACCACAGCAATGACCGTGCTGAAGATTGAAGACGGTGTTTCTCTATTCGAAAATTTTGGTTAAAGACAGGCTACATTATACACCGAGAGCGTCGGTCCGTACCTCAAAAAAGACCTAGCCTTTGAACTGTCTATTATGCGAGGGGCACGACGCACTTCTGCCTCATAGCCTGACATCCTGGCAAAGAAGGTTTGCACCACGACGACTGAGTCTTTATCTCCTAATGTGATAAAGCTCCCTCTAAGCTGAAGTGTGTCTCAGAAGTCCTAATGCAGCGTGCGCTGACCCATTCATTCGGATTTGCCACAGCCTACGCTGTGTGTGTCTGTGTGCGAGAGAGAGAGAAGAGGAGAAGAAGAGAAAGGCAGCATTTAGCAATCGACATTTAACATGTGCGCTACTCGTGTACTTACAGATCCAGAAATACATTCCGGAATAGATCTTCAGACACCACACCCAAACATGCGGTTTCAAACTTTATGACACGCGATTAGTCACTTTACGGCTTCGACAACGAGCAAAACCAGCACGCCATCCCTCAACAACCGTCACGGTGTATCACCACTGCAACTTCTAACCCTTTATCTCAGCCAACGATCTCGTCGCCCGCTCAAACAATATGAGTATCATGAAGGTTCATATGCCTCTTAAGTCGTGGGGGAAGGGGGACAAAAATGCCTCACCTCCTGGCACTAAGCCGTCTCGAAAAACCAAGGGAAAAGGCCGAGGAAGGCCACTAATCACCATGGCTCCTAATGAGCAGCACGCAACATTCTTTTAATGATACCTACCTAGGTTACTACAACCTCAGCATTAAGACAACAGCCCAACAACCACCACCCCCTCCTTCACACCCAAACCGAAACTGGACCTTAACACTATCGAACGGGTCCACATGCATGTTACACAATGCACAGACAAACCCACATGTGGAGCCATGAAGCCAAACTCGCAGAGATGGTCTGAACACCTATTATCCAAAATCTCAACAGCCCACAACTTGCGAATCGTAACAACACTCGACTCTGCAAGACCCTCCGAACCCCTAGAATCAACATCCATGCACCCAAAACAACGATGCGAAAATGAGATCGGGAGGGAGGGAGGTGCGCACATACCGGACAAGGGGGCCAAGGGTGAGGAATGCGACCACGGCGAAAACGAGTGCAAGAAATCGGCCGGCGATGCGGGGGTGTGGCTGGAATGCAAAGCGAGAAAAAAAGGCATGAAGGAGTCGAGAGCTTATTATGCTTCTCGACCTCTCGCTCAGCCGGGCAGGACGAATCTTTCTACGGGTAGGTAGGGGGCAGGCCAGGATCCTTCAGGGCTTTGTCCCTGGGGTAGCTTTGGATGCCGGGCAGCGATTGAGGTAATATGGAAGAGAATCCGTTAGCACAGGCCGCCACGGAGACGAGGGCTTTTGACGATAAGTTTTCTGAAGACGTTCCTAAAAGAGTTCCCATAAGCGTTCCCAATGCAAGTGGAGTTCTATTCTTCGTGAGGACCGAGTTGGTCCGATCCAATTCCTGAATAGGAAAAGGTATCTACATATTATGAATATATCAACAACTACAACGTATGCTTCTGTGCTCATGTTTTCATTTTTGCTGTACAAATCACTTGAAGTCTAAGAAGCATTGGAAGGCGAATACATCGGGGAAGGCTCAGCAAGCTTTACGACGTGGTCACATGGAACGGGCGTGGATTTTGACGAGCACTATCTAGGAGAAAAAATTTGAAAATTTGATTCTTTGAAAATAGGAAGGTTCACATCCTGTACCTAATAACAATGAATCGAGTAATTCTCTTACAGACGATGTAAACTTCGATTTGTTGATAAAATCAGCATTTTCAGTTCACAATCAGTGAAATCAGTGAAGAAATTGGCTTTTGCTTAAGACGGAGCAATCGCCTTACGAACTCCGTGGCAACGGCGTTCACAGAAGCTTCGGCGTCGCTCTCACTGACGAGTGTGCGGTACGTGGCAGAATCGCGCGTCCCTGTTGCGGGATACAATAGGCTTTCCCTGTTCGTTGTTGGGAACAAAGGTTGTTGAATTCTGTAGCTAAATTTGTCAGTTGCTTGCCGGACTCTTCCTTGGCAGTGTTTGAGTCACATCTGCGCTTTTTTCGAAGCGCACGATTGAGTCAAGAGGTTGTGGTTGAGTGAACGTGTCGGAGTTCTTTCAGATAGCAGAAGTGTTCGAATGGTGAGTTCACAGCTGCGGAGTTTTTTCGTTTTTTTATTTTTATTTTTATTTTTTGTGTGCGATGAATTTTGAGTTGTGGTTTGATGGCGCTCACAGGGATGTAGGAGTTTTGGTTCCACAGGTTTGCTCATTTATTACAATCGACGACGACGACGCTCATTTATTACGAGTCATTGCAACCACACAATCTAGATTTCAGTGCAGGTCTGTACTTCTGATTTGCAATTCATCAAAGAAGATTGTGATATGTGACTTACTAAGCGGTTTAGTTTACGCCTTATCCTCACAGCCCTTGAAACGACGTTCCTGGGCGCAATTGGGGGATTAAGAAAGTTGCGACGAGAAGTTTTCGCAGCAAAGTTATGTTGGGAAGTTCACAAGCTGGAGCTTTACAGACCTCTCCTTACTTGGACCAGTATTTAAAACACAGTATTATCAGTATGTAAACACAGTATTTGCAGTATGTAAAGACAGTATTTACAGTTTGTATTTGATCACTGTAGATAGTATTTGTAGTATTTTTATAGTTTTATAGTTATATCAAATATCTTTATATTTTTATATTTATAGTTTTAAAGTTTTAAAGTTTTATAAGATATAGAATTTTACAAGAAATAAAATCGTTTTATCATTTTTTTCATTTTATAGTTTTATATATAGAAATTTTTATTTTTATATTTAATTTTTTTTATAGTTTTTATCTTAATTTATCTACATGTAGTTTTTATATTTATATTTATAGTTTTTATAGTTCTTATAGTATATTTATTATATTATATTTCATATTATATCTTCATTATAAATAAAATTCTTGAATAACAAAGTTTTATTGGAATTTTAAAAGTATTGTCAATTACAATAAGAATTGTTGTATAAAAATTGAATTATAAGAATTTAATTCCTTGCTTTTATGTGAATTTTTTTAAATTCAACTTTATTTGCATAAATATAGGAAAATGATAAAGCAATCCAAATTTTTATTCAATCGACCCACATACCACGTTCCTAAGCTATTCTCCTATTCTCAACTACTCCTTTGTTCTCAACAGTCGCCTCTGTTCTTGACATTTCTAACCTCTAGCCTCCATCCCTATCAAGGACATGAACTCCAAAAGAAGAAAATCTCAATACACTCTTGTGTCACTCGAAAATACTTAGAAATCAATCAAAGGTGATAATATATTGATCTAGAATGGCTATTGTCAAAGACTAGAAAACATGATGACTCTTGAAACTAGACAAGAAATAAGAAAGTAGTTGACAAGAGTGAAGAAGGCTTCACTCTTGTCTCTATATATACTATCTAACTAGGGGCTACGTGGCGATGTTCTATAGGACCTCCAATATGTATTGACTTTGTAGGACACTTGCCTTGACTTACAAGGCAAGTTTTTTTACATGTAGGCCACATACTTAGCTTGGTCTTCAAGCTAACAACATGTGTGGCACATGGCCAACTTGTTGACCACGTTTCTAATCCAAAAAGTCAATTAAAGACACCTATGAAGTCAAAGCAGTGTCTATAAAGCTTCTAGAAAGCTTCCATATCAAATACTATAGAATTATCTTACTTTTATCTACTTTTACTTACTTCTACTTATTTATATATGTAATTACTAGCTTACATGAGTATGTCCATGACATTACCCTCCCTTCTATGGACGAGTTCCATAGGGAGCGGTCATCATATGTTGCGACAAATTATATTCGCCACATACTCTCATCTTTGTTTTCTTCGAAGATGATTGATAGGGCCTCTCAACCATCGGTAGTGTCCCATACCAAGGCGGGAAGACCACCCAATTATTTGATCATTGTTGAGGCCTTCATTACTTCCTTTGAATAAAACATTTGGAACACCATCAGGAGTTGTTTCTACTTCTAGTAAAATCACCAAATATCGGGAGTCTCTTCCAAGGTCGTGATATTAAATACGTTGTATCTGACCATCTATTTGAAGAAGAATATGTCGTTCTTGAAGATCTTCATCTCGATTGTGTCATCTTGAAAGTTGTGACAATCGTAATGTCTTGTCTGGTAGGTCAGCAAATGAAGGCTCTTGAGTCAAATCCGCTAGTTATTGATTCTCCATCTCTTTAGCGTTACAACTACAAAGAAGCTACAAATAAGGATTAAAAGTAGAATGTTATCTTATCTAGATCTTGTTTCTTTTATAAGGAAGATTTTTATCTTGATTTTGATGCATGTCGTCGATGAAAAGCCTCGACCGCCTTTATTGCATTTACAAGATTCTTTACTGGCTCCCATGTGCATTCACTAATATCATATCTGTGCTAATGGACAAGATATTTCAATTTATTTCGACGTAGCGTTGAATCTATGACTTCTTTCACTTCAAACTCTTCATTATTCTCCACTTCTATAAGAGGAGGTAGAACTTGTCTTCTTCTTGGTATGTCCACTATCTTGTATGGTTCAAAAAGAGATACGTGGAATACTAGATGGATTTTTATTGACTCTGGTAGATGTAAACGATATGCAACTCGATTGATTTCTACAGAAATAGAAAATGGTCCAAGCCTTCGATAGTCCAACTTATCATAAGGACGAGTGATCTTGATATTGCGACGAAGTAACCATATCTCATCGCCCATGTGGAATGGTAGTTGTTTCTTTTGATAGACATCCGTATTTATCTTTTGTCATTCTTGAGCTTCTTTTAATTACGCCTTCATTGTTGAATGTAACTTTGACAACCGATTTGCCATATCTTCTGCCGCAGGATTATCAACTTTTGAAAAATCAAACATGTCAAGTTGTAGATGATAACCATAAATGGCAAAGAAAGGTGTTTGTTGTGTAGAAGAATGCATCGTATTATTATAAGCAAACTGTGCGAATGGCAAAAGAGTTGTCCAATCATCTTGTTGATAGTTGATGGTACATCTTAAGTATTGCTCCAAGACTTGGTTTACATGTTATGTCTATCCGTCAGTTTGAGGATGAAAAGCCGAAGATAGTTTTATATCCATTTGTAAAATCTTAAAAAGAATTTTCCAAAATCTTGATACAAACTGAATTCCCCTATCCGATATAATATCCTTTGGTAATCCATGATAGCGATAGATATTATCAATAAAAAGCTTAGTTGTTTCTTAACCCGTGATGGATTTTGTACATGGCACAAAATATGCCATCTTGGTGAAGCGATCTACTATCACAAATATAGAGTCATAAAAACCTGAGCTTGGAAGATTTGTGATGAAGTCCATAGAAAGAAAAGACCATGGTTGTTCTGGAATGGATAATGGCTGAAGAAGTCCAAAAGATCGATGATGAGGAGTTTTTGATCTTGAAAAAACATCACATGATTGTACAAAATCTTCAGTTGCCTTCCACATTTGAGGCCACCAAAAATCCCTAGATATCAACTCCAAAGTCTTATTGTATCCAAAATGTCTTGCTGCTAGAAAGTCGTGATGAGTTTGATGAACACGTAAATGTGCTTCTCCTTCTGGAACATATAGACATTCTTCAAAATAGAGTAGGTTGTTCTTGAATTCGAATTTAGAGGCATCATGAGATTTAGAAGAATTATTCTTGATATCATGAACAAGAGGGTCTAAAGACATACTTAACTGAACTTGCTTGAGAAAAGTTAAATCAACAATCAATGTTGATTTTATTGCTCGAAGATGAAATTGCTCTAGCTTCAAGAGAACCATTCTTTGTTGCTCAAAAGCTACATCTCCTTCTTTTGGTACAAGATAAGAATGTTTAGACAAGGCATCAAACAAACCTTATTATTTTTCTGGTCGATAAGTGATGATGAACTTGAATCTTGATAAAGACATGCTCCAACAAGCTTGACGACAATTTAATATGCATGCTGACATGAAATATTTGAGGTTTTTATGATCCATGTACACAGTGATTGGACTTGAGGTGCCTTCTAGATAATGATGCCATTCTTGAAATGAATCCACAATTACAAGAAGCTCTTTATCGTGGATTTCATTGTTAATCTTCATTGCTGAAAATTTCCTGGAATAAAAAGCTACTAGATGGAGCTTGTCATCTACTCCTATTTATGACAAAACGACACCCAAAGCAAAGTCTGATGCAACTGTTTCTATAAAAAATACCTTGGAGAAGTCGATGCGATACAAGATTGGTGCAGAAGTAATTTTTTTCTTTAAACCATCAAACGCTACTTTAGCTTCTTTACTCCACTTAAATTTGTCTTTACAAGTTAAACACATAAGTCGAGCTGCAATTTGAAAAAAGTTCTTGATGAAGATTCAATAGTAATTTGCAAAGCCCAAAAAGCATTGCATATCTCGTACTGTTCTTGGAATCTTCCAATCTATGATAGTCTGGACCTTCTTGGGATCCATTATCAGGCCTTTGTTGAAAATGATGTATCCTAAAAAGTCAACTTGAGTAGTGTGGAATACACACTTTTTCAACTTGGCATATAATCCTGCATCTCTTAGTTTTTGTAACACATGACAAACATGGAGTTTATGTTCTTCTGTATTTTTAGAATAGATTAGAATGTCGTCTAAATAACAAACAACAAAATCATTTAAAAACTCACAAAAAACATCATTCATAAGATGTTGAAAAGTAGTTGGTGCATTTGTGAGTCCAAAAGGCATGACATTATATTCAAAATGTCCATACCTAGTTCAAAAAGTAGTCTTCCATTCATCTCCTTCTTTGATGCAGACCAAGTTGTATGCTCCTCGTAGATCTATTTTTGTATAGATCTTTGCTTAATTGAGTTGATCAAGAAGTCTTGAAATCAAAGGTAAAGGATACCTATTTTTGATGGTGATCTTGTTAAGGCCCCAATAGACTACACTTATCCGTAGAGATCCATCTTTTTTCTTTACAAATAAGATTGGCGCTCCTGCTGGAGATTTTGAATGGCATATGAAGTTTATAGCCAAGTTCTTGTCAATATACTCCTTTTGTGTAGCCAACTCGTATTGTGATAAGGTATAGATTGGTCCAAATGGCGGTTGAGCTCCTTCTTGAAGATCAATTGAACAATCATAAGGTCGATGTTTTGGAAAGAATATCTACATTCTTCTTCTAAAAAATATCTTGGAATTCTTCATATTGGCTAGGAATACCACTTGATGTCTTTTCACTATCTGAAATGGACGTGGCATATAAAGCAAAAGATGACCCCTCTTTGGCTACATGCATGAAAGCTCTTGCCCCTATTAGTAAGCGTTTAGATGTACTAGACTTATGTATTTCTTCTTGATTAATAGAATTTCGAAATAAACTACTAGAAAAGTTAAGGTTACAAGAAATCCAATCTATTTGAGGGTTGTACTTTTCTAACCAAGATAGTCCTAAAATGACTGAATTCAAAAGAGATCGTATCACATTAAATATTACTACACTATTATGATCTTTAATTACTACATCTAAAGGAACAGTCTCATGGATAACATCACTAGAAGACAATGAACGACCATCTATGACTTCCACATGTATGGATTTGATTTTCTTGACTAACAATATTTCTTGTTTTTTGACAAAGTCTTCGTCTATGAAATAAGCTAAGGCTCTTGAATCTAATAATGCAAAGACTTTATGATTTTTGGATCCTAAACACACATCTATTGTAAAATAAGGTGAGGGATCTTAGGAGAGAATAAGACCTTGACTACGTATTGCATATGGTTCCAACCGCTCGGTCCCTATTGTAGCTAAAGGAACTCGTTTTCCATCACATTGTCTTCTTTTGCAATCGTACTCCTCATTTTGTTATTACGT